TCATGTAAGGGAAACACACGGCTCCTGGTTTGGGAGGTAAATGTGTCAACAGGCTGTTTATACTGGAGTATATGTATTTCTGAAGATGTTTCAGTGACTGCACCACCAAATAATGTGCTGACCGTGATATTTCTTTTTACCATTCTCTGTCAGTGCCTGACGCTCATGCATGTTTAAACACCAGACAGACGTAGTAAAAGTTCATTATGTGAGTTCTCTGAGCTGAAGCTGTCGTCACTGTGCACAGCAGCAGCAGAGAGGTGGCACTGAAACGTGTTCATGTTCCCAGGATCTAACATGTGAAGGAGTCCTACTCTGGTCTCTACATTCAAAAGAGCTTGTACCTGTAGCACTGACACTGTGACATCGATCCACCTCAGCCTCACAGTCTCACTGTGACCGGCTGAGATGCCTGTCGGCCGGCAAACACAGCCCGAGCACCGACACCACCCAGGCCAAACATCTCCTCTCTTCTCCTTCCTTCAGCTGGATCAGGACACAGGCAGAGGGAAGGCTGATGATCCACAGTCTCAGGCTGTCTCTGCGTTCATGGACCTTCTTTCCAAACACCCCAAAGTTCTGTGGAGTCCTGCCCACCTGCTGGTCAGCGCCATGGACAGTAAGGACCATTACATACCCGTTTGGCTGAAGATGCACAGTCGTCTCATACAGACAAACCGTACAAAGCTGAACAGTTTTAGGCAAAGGACAGATCAAGAACCAGATGTCCAAAGAGCAGAACCAGTAATGGATTCTCTTCCTTTGTGCAGTGATGCCAGACGGGGTCCCGGCTCTTCTGATGGACTGTGGTCCCGATATGCTGATGACGCTGAACCAGATGGTTGGTTATCACACGTTGACCCCATAGCTGTCTCCCCACAGCCCTCTGCCATTAAACTAGACCCCTGTCTCTGTCTCTGTCCTCCAGGTGGACGATCTGATGACCAGGAAAGCTCAGGACCCAGAGCCCCTGCCCCTTCCCCTGCAGGAGGAGGAGGAGCTCTGCTGGGTGGTCGAGCTCCTCAGGCTGAGCACTGCCAAGATGAAACAGCTGAGCGTCGACTGGGACAGACCAGAGCTACCAGTGGAAGACCTGCTGGGGGCGCTGTGCGTCGTGGTGCGGGGACTCAGCCCGCTGCAGCCCTGAGCGTTCCCATGATGCATCAGCTCCTCACTGTTAATCCTACTGTGTCTACTAATGCATTGTCATCAGAGTTTATGCTACGTCTCATAACCCATTCCCCCATTTATTGTGTATCAATAACTGTGAGTGTTGAGAGGAGGCTGAGGTGTGTGTGTGTGTGTGTGTGTGTGTGTGTGTGTGCATTTAACAAGAAAACAGTTTTTTCATAACCTTCTAACTTGTAAGGTCGTGGTTCATGGAGCTGTGTCGGGGTAGTTCTTGACAAAGTGTCTACAGTTTGGTTTGAAGTTCATGTTTTCTCTTCTTATAAATGTAGGATTTCCACAGTAATGTTATCATCTGTCTTAACCTGTAGCTGGATGTTTGCCTCGTCTGTCTCCTGATAAAATGCTGAACACTGATTTAAATAAAATGGTCTGAAAAACTGTACTTTTGTAAACCTGTTTTTTTCCAGTGAAATCACAAAACTCTTCAGTACCAAGCCTAAACCTCTCTCATGTTTGTTTACTGGATATATCAGCAAAACATTCTCACCCACAGCCAGCGAGTCACCAATTACCCAGACTTGGTACCAGTCCAGGTCTCCATAGCGAGAAGCCCAAACAAAGCTCCCTGGAGCCAGAGCTGCGTCCGCCACTATGCCAGCCTCAGTCACACGCGAAGACAAAGAGTTTCTTTTCACTGATGTTTACCAAACACCAAACACCATAGAACTAACAAACAAGGTAAATGGAAATAAACAACCATGTCACTTCACATCACATAGACATGGTGCAACAATAAATTCATAAACAAAAATGAGACATACCATTTTGGCTTGCTTGTGAGCAAAGGCTTGTAGTAAAACTCAAATATAAACTTCTTAAATTAACTTAAGTGTCCTTTTCTTCGGTCCTTTTCTCTGCTACTAGTCTTCTCTCTCGTCGAAGGACCGGAAGTAGCACAGCGGAAACAGTAGTTCCGACAAAACTTATGGGACTAACTGTAATCAAAACAAAACTATATCAATATACAAAAACAAATACCATTCATAATGTTGCATAAGAAATACAAAACTCAAACAAACAAAATGTGCAACTTCATAAACGTATATGCTGCGTAACAATGACCTTCACAGGATGTACAGAAAACTGCACAGACCCGACAACAGCAGCTACAGCCACCATCGTCCTCCGGTATTTATTTCACTGCCTGTGGACTTCTCTCTGTGGCAAATCAAACAACGCCACGGGTTCTGGTGTAAACAAAGCTTGATTGTCCTGTGTAAGTGACTGCACCGACACGTTGTTGACCAGTCCGGTGCCTCTGTCAGACCGTTTTCATAAAGCTGTTATTCCTGCAGAGCTGGTGAATGGTGCTGTTTGTTGACCGTAGGTGAAGCTACAGATCTAAAAGACAGAGAGCAGTCAGACACATTGGATCCTCCTGAGCTGTCTGGCTTCACTTCCTCTGCAGCTGTGTGCGTCTGCAGCCTCCACAGGGAAACTCTGAGAGCCAGGCTGTCTCCTCTGAGGTCGTCTCCTCTGAGGCTGCTCTCACATTAGACAGGTTTAGTGAGTTTACTTTTAGTTGCTGAGACAGCTGTCAGTCAGACCTGGATGTGGACTAAACAGCTTCTCACCATCAGACTCTGGTTGGTTAGTGTGAAAACAAAACACAACTTCTGTGTACAGCGCCATCACCAGACAAAGGGGCTCAGTCAGCAGCAGGTCACCGTCTCTCTCCTGCTCCACAGACAGACTGAAGAAGCCGTTTGTGCCTCAGGCTGTAGGACGCTTCACCTCCTCTCAGTGAGGAGGCCTGGTCTGAGTTCTGGACATGTGATGTCACTATTCGGCTCCATACTATGGTCCCACCTCACCTTCATCAGACTAACACAGCATGAAACTGAGCAAAAAACGTTTATATGAAGGTAAGTCCTCACCAGACCTGCTGACCTGAGAGCAGGTCTCTGACCTGTTCTACGATGTGTTAGCGTTCGTCTCCCCTCATTCAGTTTTCCTACTGACAGTGTCAACGCACAACATGAGAACAAGTTAATACTGTTATCCTGTTGTGTTCAAAGATTGCACCTGCGTTTTGAGAGAAGATGGCATCACACTGATCTGACGACAGTGACCGTGTTGGCCAATAAGCAGCGGCACCCATAGAACGGCCACTGCAGGTGAAGAAGGGGCTGCCCCGTGTTCTGTGGCTCTGATTGGCTGTTTTATTGACTGACTGACGTTTGTTGCACCAGCCACCTACAGCTGTGCTGACTCAGCTGTGATCAGTGTGGACGTTGGCCCCCACCATGTGCAGGCAGAGGAAAGTCACAGCAGGTGGTTTGGTTCTGGGACTGGAGTCGTGTTCTCTTAAGTATTTCCACTGTGTCAGATTGGTTTGTGCACCATTGCAGAGCAATGATCACATTTCAAATGTATTGATAGGTTTCTGTAGCGCCTGTGTACACCCTCCATGTTTCACACCTCCTCTGTTCTTATTCAATTATTACTTTATTTAACCCAATAAAATGTTTGTGTATAAAAATCCATTTCTTTGGATCAGTGAGTTTTTCCCCTCCATACCTGAACTGTGTCGAATATGGACATTTAATCAGATGAATGTTGCAGCCATGAGTCAGTTGTATACAAAAGCAGTAGAAATAAATATAAAGTTTGTATAGTTTTAAAAATGTCTGCATCAAAGCAGGAGAATACATAAAGCACTCTAAGGTGGTCGTCATGATTGTAAACTGGTAGATGTATTCAGAGTTGAGTGGGAGTAGTAGTAACACGGCTGTGTTTCAACTACAGGTACTTATGAAGGGGCATATAATGCAGTGTTAGGCTTCAGCAGAGGTGAAGCGGTTGGAGCATGGAGCCCTTGTTTATGCTCAACAGAGTCTGATGTAACGGAGGCAGCTGTCACTGGTTTTGGTTACATGCACAAATCCATGACCTCACAGTCCTTTTCTAAACTCTGTTTTCTTGTGCTTTAAAAGCACAGGGAAGCAGAGTTGTGCTCCCTCTATACCAATGACTGCACCTCAGGAGACCCCTCTGTAAAAATCCTGAAGTTTGCCAACGACACAACAGTCATCGGCCTTATTCAAGGCGGTGACGAGTCGGCCTACAGGCGGGAGTTTAAACAGCTGGCCCTGTGGTGTGGTAGTAACAACCTGGAACTGAACACAGGGAAGACAGTGGAGATGATAATGGATATTAGGAGGAGCTCCCCCACCCTATCTCTGCTCACTATAATCAGCAGTACTGTTTCAGTCGTGGAGTCCTACAAGTTCCTGGGGTCCACAATCTCTCAGGACTTGAAGTGGACATCCAACAAAAGCGCCATCATTAAGAAGGCACAGCAGAGGATGTACTTCCTGTGTCAGCTCAGGAAGTT